CATGGAAGGCAAATGTGTAAATAGGCAGGGTGGGTGTTTGTGAAGCAAGAGCACCTAGCGTTGTAGCAGACCCGAACTGGACTGACATGCCGGAGCACCGAGGCAAAGGGGAGCAGAGTGAGGACAGGCTCAGGGAAGGTACTCCACCGGGTGGTGTCCTGGGGGGGGGGGGCAACAAGGACCGGCTAACCCTGGATAAGTGGTCTCACTTTCCCCGCTACCTACTGCCATGAACAAACGCCACTCTCCTGTGTTGACAGCATGTTTTACCCAAGCATCAAGCAAGCATGTGAGGCCAAGAGACCATGGAGTGAGCCTTCTGAACCCCTAAGGTGGAAGTTGGTCTTTTCCTCTCGTTCTCTATTATTTCGGTAACAGTAGCGTGGAAGTGAACGTACAGCCGCGTGGTAGGGTCAGAATATATGTAGTGCGGATAATTAAGCAGAGACGTCTTCTGAATTTGCCTGCATTTGGTTGGCAGTAAGGCTAAGGAAAGAGTGTTTTGATTTTCCCTTAAATGCAAAAGATGTGTGTGTGGAAGTCAAGAAATGGGAAGAGCTCCTCTGTCATCCTGATTGGCAGTGGAATGAGGTGTGTGGGGTGCAGGGCAGGAGCGATCTGGGGGAGCGTGGGAGGGAGGTGAGTAAAGTGGTTGCTGAGGCTTGCACAGCTTGCAGCCTGGGTCTTTGAGGTTGCACCTCCAGATCAGAATGTTGTCTTTACTAGTCTCTTGTATGTTGTTGTTGAACCAGAAACTTCTCTGTAAGCCTTACAGAGAAGTTCCTTGTCCGAGATACAGGCTGCACCAGTGTCTGCATTGTCCCGTTTGCTTCTTAGATTGGGAAGCTGGCATTTATTTCTATCAGTCAATAGTCTATACTCTCAGTGTTAGACCTGAGCAGACCTTTGGAACTGCCTTGACTGACAGAATGAAGCAGGGACACCGATTCCTGAAGTCCCTCAGCTAGTGCAGCTTCCTCCTGCGTCTTCTCTTAGGTCACAAGCTTAGGGTGCCTCAGCTGACATGAAAGAAGTCAGCTACACTGAACCACCCCACCAGAGGATGAGGGGAGACCTCAGAGAGCTCGGGAGAAGTGACTGTTCTAAACACACTTTAGCTCAGACCTGGGACAGGTCATCCTTGTTGTGTCTGATTACTCCCCCACAGAGCCTGGGAGCACACAACAAACACTATTTTACACGGAGTTGGGCAGCAATTGTTGCGCAAGCAGAGGAGCAGGGACAGATGCCAACTCAGTCTGTCAGCATGGGCGAAGAAAGCAGGCTCCAGAGGGAAGCTGGAACTGCAATCTTGCAGTTCTACACAGCCAAGTAACAGCTAAGAACAAGACCCCTTTCTGCTGGTCTAACCAGTAGCCAGACAGGATACTTTGTAAAGAGAGGTTTATTTAGCTCATGGAAGGTCCAGGATTGGGCCCTGTAGAGAGAGGCCCCTGGGCTGTACTCCTCCATCAGTCCTTTGTGAGAGGGACAGATACTGTGGAGGCAGCAAGCGAGGTCAAGGAAGCGACAAGCTCTATGTTTTGTAGCAACTTTTCTTTCGGGAGCTAACTGGGATCCCACAAGAACTACCTTTATGGCTTTTGAGTGCTGTATCCGAACAGCCTAATTAACCTCTGACATGCCTCTTAGGGCTTTCAATACCTCCACACTGCCTTCTCGAGGGTCAAGTCACTAACATGTACGAGCCCGTAGAGACACACTCAAACCCTATCCAAAGCTTGACACTCGCTATTAGCTGAGACATTCCTTGTTTCTTTTTATACTTGGCAAACTGTCTTGTTCTTTTCAAGAGGGGGCCTCACTAGACCAGACTAGCCTTGAACTCGCAGAGATCCTCCTGCTTCTGCCCCCTGAGTGCTGAGATTAAAGGCATACACCACCATGCCCGATCCACACTTCATTAGCTACAAGTAAGAAAAAGTCGTGAATTTTTTCTTTTTGGAGGGGGTAACATTTGGGAATATTCTGTAGCCCTCCCAAGCTCGATTGGTTGAGGTGGCGAGCCCTTTACTACGGTGTGACAGGTTGGAATGTGGTGTGGAAGAGGCTTTAAAATCAATTAGCACTGGTCAGTGTTGCGTTAGCTTCCAAAGGTTAGTCCTGTTGCCGTCAACTTTTGTTTAAAGTGGGTAAAAGAATCTCATTTGGAAAGTTTGGGTGGCTCTTCTTTTTGGCAAAGGTGCAGTCTTTTATTTATCAGGAAGGAAGTGCTATGTTACAAGTGTTCCTGTGGCCATATTGTGGGTTGGTGTTAGGGTCCTTCAGTCTGTGGTTCTGAAAACTTGTCAGGCCCATGGTTCTGACAGACTTTCGGACAGCAAGTGGGTAAAGTCTACTTCTGAAGTTTTACTAGCACAGTGCTTTGTTGATGTGACGTGGTGTGTAAGACTGACTCTGGAAGCTCTGAGCAGAAAACTTGCCTGGCTCATAGGGAGACAGATGTTTCTCGTCATCAGTGACGTGCTCACGGCTTCTCTGCATGAGGAGCTAGAGCCACAGACAGTTCTTACTAGGAAGGTAGGGTGAGCTCTCATTGAAGCAGCCTCACGATCCCAGTGCTGCTGAGCCAGCTGCTGCTTTCCAAGCTTGCTTAGCTGATCCCTAAGAAGTCAGCGTGCATCTGTGCTCTTGCGTGTTCTTTAATCACTCCCATTGCGTATTTGGGAGAGAAGCCTGGAAATGGCTAAGCTGGACTGTCCAAATAAAGCAGTATTTTGGTCATAGCTGTTCGTTCAATAAAGCACTGACTGGACTGGCTGGGTAGGGCAGGTAGTTTCCTGGAAGCGCCTCCTCAGCTGGTTTGACTGAGGCCCCTCCCTTTCCTCTTCTGAGAAGTCTGAGAAGAAAAGAAGGGCACTTCTGCCCTCCGGGATGGCGAATGGGTGGGTGGCAGGATGATGTGCTGCCGAGCTTCATGGATTGACTTAGTTGAAGTGCTAGGTCTCTCAGTGTTAACTGTGAGGTGCTGGTGTGCAGTTCTGATGGAGAGGGTGTCCTGCTCGGTCTTGTGCATTGTTAGAGGGGGGCTGTGGCTCTTGGCACTATGGAAATTTCAGGTTATTTAGGAAGTTCTGAAAAGTGTTTCCAAAAGTTTGCTACAAGGCATAGTTGCATATGTCTACAATAAGCTCAGCCTTCAGGAAACTGAGGCAGAAGGATTAACCTAGGTTATGTCACCTCACGTAACATAGCGGGACTCTCAGAATCCACTACCAGCTGGGCGTGGTGGCTCACTCTAATCCGAGCTCTTGGGGAGCGGGCAGAGGCAGGTGAGTCTCTGAGTTCTAGGCTAGCCTGGTCTACAGAGCAAGTTCCAGGACAGCCAGGGCTACACAGAGAGATCCTGTCTTGAAAAACAAACAAGCAACAATAACAACCAGGCCAAAAACCCCTATCACCATTAGAATACTCGGTTGCGACCCATATTATTCCCTGTTACTTGTTCATGCCTGGAAGATGTTACTAGCAGGTTGGGCTCTTAGATTCTCTGTGAGGCCTCTTCAGTACTGCTCAGGTGGAGTTTCTGGATACACTGTGAGTCTGGCTTTTCTTTCAAGGTCTGAGCCATTGATGACAGTACCTACCTTTGGGGTCTCTTAAAACATCTGCTTTAGAAATATGAACCAATAATCATCTTACCTTTCTTATTTTTTTTTTTTTAAGACAGGGTTTTCCTGTGTATCCCTAGATGTCCTGGAACTTGCTCTGTAGACCAGGCTGGCTTCTAACCCAGAATTTGCTGGCCTCTGCCTCCTGAGTGCTGGGATTAAAGGTGTGCACCACCACACCTGACTTTATTCTTTTTTAAGGTTATACTTTACCTATAATAAAATCCACCCCTTTTAGTGTCTGCTTCTGCACAATTACACAGACTCATATAGGTTTATGATCACGGTCGATAGGACTCCGGACAGGGCTATGGAGACAGTTCATTTGGTTATGATCATGGTTGTTTAAGACTCTGGACAGGGCTATGGAGACAGTTCATTTGGTTACGATCATGGTTGTTTAGGACTCTGGACAGGACTATGGAGACAGTTGACTTGGAAAAGCACTTGCTGGGCAAGCATAAGGAAGTCAGTTAGCTCTCCAGTGACCACCGCTTGTTATCCCTGTTTGGGTAGGTGGAGACAGGGAGATACCTGGGGCTTGCTCCAGGCCAGTGAGAGACACAGTCTCAAAAACATGGTGGACAGCTGCTGAAAAACAGTGCCCAAGATTGCTGTTTGACCTTGGCATGCATGCTCACACATTACAAATTGACTGATTGGTATAGTAGTCTCAGGCTATAACACTGAAGTGGCATTTAAGATCAGTGATAGTGAGGGTACCCGTAGACCCTTTTTAACTGCATCTGCTGTGAGAGCATGCTGAACGGCAGCATTGCTGGGGCTATCCCACACTCGAAACAAGAAAAGCATCGAAACAAGAAAAGTTACACAGTGTTGCTTACTCTAGGGAAGCAGATACTAGCAAAGCTGAAATGTTTAGATATCTTCCAGGGATTTAAAAGGTCTCAGATTAAAATACTGTGTGAAACACAAGCCAAGGTGGGAGTAGTTCTCAACTGCTCTTACCCAAGAAAAGCAAGATTGACTGCCACACCCAATGAAAGCCATATGAATGTGAAGGACCCTTTAGTTAATTTATAGGATTGCTTCTTTGTGTCACTTTAGTATTGTCTGTTTAGGAAGAAAAAAACTGAACTGTCTTCCTCAAACAAACATGATGTTAAAGTTGCTTCAATAATGGCCAATTTATTCTGCATCTGTTGGGAACAAAATGCCCAGTCTGTGTGTTTGGGCCTTGTTTAGTGTGACTGTTTGGGCCTTGTTCAGGGTGGTGAGGGTGGCGATGTGATGGGGTTGTGAGGGTGACGTGTGGTGGTGTTGCCTTAAGTTCTGCTCTCTTGTTTTTGAGTTCATAGAATGAGTTGTGTGTGACTTCTCCCTCCTTTCCCTTCACCTTGACTACAGAGAGGTACAGAAAGCAGTCAACACTGCCCAAGGATTGTTTCAGAGATGGACGGAGCTCCTTCAGGGCCCCTCTGCAGCAACAAGGGAAGAAATCGACTGGACCACCAACGAGCTGAGGAACAACCTCCGCAGCATAGAGTGGGATCTGGAGGACCTCGATGAGACTATCAATATCCTTCCTTCTCTGTGGTGTCTGGGTGGAGGGACTCAGGAACGTAGGCAAGAGGGCAGTTCAGTGAGACCTTGAGCCATAGGTGAGAGGTCTGCTTCTCTAGTGACTTATCAGGTTCTTGTTTGTACCATGACACATTTGAAGTCTGCCCGGGAGCTCAGGTAGGCTGGCCGTGTTCTTCCGTGGATGGCGAATTCTGCATTATCCAGGCTGCATAGAGCAGTGATCCTCACTTTGGACACTGGAGTCAGTCTGCTGGTGTTCAGTTTCTTACTCACTGTTGTAAAAGCACAAATAAACTTTCTCTTCGTGCACAGTAAGATACTAATACTTGAGATATCTGTGCACCAAACAGTTTTCCAGCAGACACCAGCTGAGTGTCCTACGGTTTTGACACTATCTACCTGGAGATAGCATGGGTGGCTGTAGTATCCCTATCAGATGCCACCTGCAAACCCCAGGTTCTGACCCACCCACATCCTGTTTGTTTAATTTTCAAGAGCAGCTTGTAGAGCTCAGAGAAATGCATTGCTTAGGTTGCCCGCATATTGTAAAGTCCGTGTGTGGAAGAGATTTGTAGGGAAAGTATGGTAGAAGAGCTTGTGTGTCCCCAAGAATGCCATCCTCCTGTGGCAGGTACTCCACAGGAACCCTGTCCATTTCTGGAGTATGAAAACTTCATCACAGAAACATTATCAGTTAAGTCATTGGCCATTGGTGATTAGGTCAGCCTATCTATAGTCCCTTTCTCCTTCCAGGGGCAACTGTGGCTAGAAGTTCACATCACTAATCATAGCATTGGTTTGTGTGGTGATCAGAGGAGCTGTGTAGGAATTATCAGTCATCTACTAGCAATAGACTCTAGAGACTCCAAGGGCCTTAGGCGCTCTGGGCCAGAGAGGGTGTTGAATATATATTTGATAATAGTGCCATAACAGTGACTCTGGCGTTGGCCACATTAGTAAGCTTCTCTATGCTTTAGTTTCCTCTTCAGAAGGATTCTAGGACAACAAGAGTGTCAAAAGGGTTCCATGTATCACGAGCTTAGAACGATGCCTGCCAGAGTGATTACTGTAAAGGACAAGCAGTGGTACTGGGCAGGCTGCTTGCTAGTACAGTACTTGACTGACCTAACGCTCGAGGAGCAGGGTGAGTGCGCACACGACACCCGGATATACAGACCAGTGTTACAGCTTGTTAGCTGGAACTCAGAAAATCTCTTCAGAGACCCCACTGCCACTTAAGTGATTTTAAAATGCTGCTGTCCATTGAAGAGCTGCCTTCTACCATGACTGTTTGGTCAGAGCGGATCCATTGTGCTGATTTCTGACTGATGAACTAGAGAGCTGCGGAAGTGGAGTTGTGCAGCTTTCTGTTTTCAGCTGGGAAGTCTCTGTAACTAAAACTTTAGTTAGAAAACAACGCCAGCTCCGTGTCTGAGCTCTGGTTTGTGTTTTTCTTTGAAATAGTCCACCAAGGAAACCGACTCTACAAGGTTCCCTTGCTAGGCAGCACGGGCTTATGGGAGGTTGATCTGTAGAGTGTTTAATTGCTGTTCTTGTTCCTCATTACTTTCTTCATGGTAACTTTTATGTTATTAAAAGACAAGTAAAATGTGAGGGGTCAGGATCATAAGCAATTTCAAGGGATATTGTTTCCTCTGAGATGAACTGGGGGCATATATTATGAGACAAGAGAAAGGAGGGCAGTAGGGAGCAAAGAGCAAAGTATAGTGGTACATATATAAGGCATGTCCCGGAGAAGCCATTTCTTCGCCTGCTAACCAGAGTTCTTTTTCTAACCAGGTTTTTAAAAGACTATACAGTTAAATAAAATGTAAAAACCTATGAGACAGAAAGGAAAGTTGTTAGTGGTGGTGTTCACCTGTAATCCTAGCACTCAGAAGGATGAGACAGGAGAGTCACAATCAGACGCCAGCCTGGGCTTTGGGGCTATATAGTGAATTCTAGGCCAGCCTTCGTTGCATAGTCTGCCCTTGTCTCAAAGAAACTGTGAGATAAAGGACAAAAGTTTTGATATTTTTTTTATTCATTCAACAATCATTTATTGAGTGTTCTGTGTATTAAACATTTTCTTGGTTTTTAAGGTTAGGTCAAATGAAACTAAACTAACTACCAGGCCTCCTGGAATTAGGGTTGGGAACAGATAGTAAATAATACAGCAGATACTGTAATTACAGGTTATGAGAGAGACCACAGGTTTTTCTAGTGTCTGCCCTGAGGCAGTTGAACCAGACCTGGTCTCTTTAGGTTGAGACAGAAGGGTAGCATTTGGCATAAAGAAGAGTCTGAAGCGCTGATTTAAAGGTTGGCAGAAGCTGACTGCGGTGACTGTGATTCCCAGCACTGGGGAGGCTGAGGCAGTGCTGGCACTCCAGGTTCAAAGCTGGTACACAGTCCACAGAGCTCCAGCCCACTCTGGGTTCCCTGTGGCACTAATCAGAAGGCACAAAAGGATTGCCACGAGGATTGACCCCTACTGACCCGTGGTAGCCATGAATTTATGGTGAACCCATAGCTCTTTTCTGCCCCTCTCACCCTTTCGCTTCCTTTCACCCCAGCTACATTCTCAGCTCCTGATTTTTGAAACACAGGTTGTCCTGGAACTCAAGGTCCACCTCCCAAGTGCTGGGATTATAGGTGTGCTCCATTATGCCTGGCTACAGAGGCTATTTTTAACTTGCCAGGTCATCTTTGTCTTGGGACAGAGGGATCTTCTCAAAGCTGTGGTTGGAGAGAAAGTCTAGGAATGTTTATGTCAAGTTGGTGTTTTCCGGAGGTTTAGGATGTCTTATTCTCATTTCGGTGTCCTGTCGTTTAACAAGATTCTGTAAGGCTTCTCATGGTGCATTTGCTTTACCTTAACTTTTTGGCCCACGTATAGTTGAAGCAAATCCTAGGAAATTCAACCTCGATGCAACGGAATTGAGCATAAGAAAAGCCTTCATCACAAGTACTCGGCAGATCGTCAGGGTAAGGAGCACTCCTTCCAGTGTCACCTGTGTGGGAGAGAGGCACACGAATCAGAACTGTCCCTCAGTCTCAGACCAGCAGGCTGACTCTGAAACCACCTTTTAACATGAACTCAATGCAAGTGTCCCATGTACAGCTTCTCTGGCTGGGTAGAGTGGGGTAGTGGGGGTCTAATTTTTTTTCTTTTTCTTCTTTTTTTTTTCTTTTGGTTTTTCAAGACAGGGTTTCTCTGTGTATCTCTAGTTGTCCTGGAACTCACTCTGTAGGCCAGGCTGGCCTTGAACTCAACAGAGATCCACCTGCCTCTGCCTCCTGAGCTGGGATTAAAGGTGTGTACCACCATCCCCAGGCTAGTGGGGTCCACTTTTAATACTGCCTGGTTGTTAGAACGAAAACAAGACAGTAAACTGCCGGCTGGAAGGATACTTTAACAGCACGATCCCCTTTGTCTATATCTCCAGTTCCTTTAAAACAGTGGTTTAAAAATCTCTTATTGTATCCTATTTCTGGACAAAAGGAAAGTCTCTTGTGGAAGCCACTGCTTTCCTGATTGGTAATGTGCACTGCTGAAGAGTGGCTCCTCCTAGGCTTGGCTGCCAGCCCTCTCTGCCATCTGAGTTGCTTCTGGAACTCCTACCAGCCATGCCATTACTATTGCCATAGACAACGGCTTGACAACCTCTCAGGAGTCACCCAGAGCAGGCATATCAAGGATGGCATATTAAAGTAAGCCATCAAGTAGACTCATCTTTAGTACTAAATTATGGAGAATGCTACCCACTGCTCAAGTATAAACAAGAAAATGTAGGTTAGGTAAAATCTTGTGTCATTCAGATGTATTTTGTATTTTGAAACTATATGGCTAAGCCATTTGATTAGCATAACTAGATGTAAGAGAAGCAGCTGCCATTAACATATGTACTCGAAAGTAGCTTCCTTGAAGAAAAAGACTTGGGATCAGATCAGTGCTGACATATGGCAGGAACCTTGCTGTGTGCTTGCCAGAGACTTTCATCATGTGATTTCCTCTTGAAATGATCTCAAATGGTAGATTTCATTGAACTTTATACATCTTTGTTTCTTGTTTCAACCAGTAGTTGGCTTTCTCTGTATTTATAACTAAATTGTTTTTATAGATGCTCACATGTAATAGAGCAGAAACCCTTTGACTTCAGGTGCCCCATGGAGACAATGAGTGTTTGTGTTCAACATTCTGACTTTGTAGGCTGTTGTAGATGCTGTTCTGCTAAGCACATTGTTAGGTGACATCTTTTGTGTGCAAGTCCCTCAGTTGTTTTTATTTACTTATTTAGACAAGACCTTACTCTATAGCCCACACTGACCCCAGACTCCCAAGTACTAGCCTTGCAGGTATTAACTGCCGCATCTGACTCTTTGAGCCTACCAGCACGAACCAAACTCAGGAGTAGCAGCAGGTGCTCTTAGCTGCTGACCATCGTCAGTCCTCATTTATCTCTTTAGTATAGTTGGTTTTCCTTCTCTCCCTCCCTCCTTGCTTCTTCTATCCCACGCCCCTTTCCTCATTTCTCCTCTCTCTCCTTCCCTCCCTTTTTTTAAATATTGGTTTTTCTAAAGGATGCTACGTTGACCCTAATATTTCTTGGTGCCTTGCTGTAAAGTATATATTCTTTAATCAGTGCATTTCTTCTTTCTGTAAGGTGGTATTTGTGGGCTTTGAAAATTGTAATTCAAAGGAATCAGTATATTGAAAATTAAATTGGTATAACTATAACTGGAGGCAGATACCAAAGTTTATCTCTTACTATTTGAAAATCTATTTAAAGTACATCTTAGAATTATTTTGTTTTATCTTAAAAGACTTATTTATTTATTTGTTTTATGTTTATGAGTGCTTTATCAACTTTATATCAGAAGAAGGAGTCAGATCCCACTAGAGATGGTTATAAGCCACCATATCATTGCTAGGAATTGGATTCAAGACCTCTGGAAGAGCAGCCAGTGCTCTTAACCACTGAGCCATCTCTCCAGCATCTTTGGAATTATTTTAAATCATGGCAGTACATCAGAATTTTACTATCCTTATAGAGTTTGAGATCTGAACCACACTCAGCTGTGTTTTCAATGGACTACTTGATAGACTTAGTAATTTATTTCCCCCACCCCCTTTGAGCAGCTGTTAATATTTGCCAGCTTTACTAACAGTAATCACACCTGAACTTTTTCTGATTTGGTTTTAATAACTTTTAATTGACAATTTTGCAGAAAAGAAGGAAATAGCCATAGAATCAACTTCATTAAAAACCAAAAGTGTTGCGGGGCAGTGGTGGCACACACCTTTAATCTCAGCGCTCAGGAGGTAGAGGCAGGTGGATCTCTTTGAGTTCAAGGCCAGCATGGTCTACAAGAGCTAGTTCCAGGACAGCCAGGACTGTTACATAGAGAAACCCTGTCTCAAAAAAACTACTACCACCACCAACAACAACAAAAATCCAAAACAGTTGCATGTATTGACTTCAGTTTCTCTGTACTCAGTGGAAGAGATCTCAAGCTTTTGGTAGAAACTGGAGAAGGGACAGAGAGTTAGCAGATTTGGGAACTGGGACAAGACGAAGTTTACACAAGAACTTTGAAACCACAGGCTTAGGTAGCACTGATCCTAGTGACCTGTCATTTAGTAGTGCCCTACTTTTTTTTTTCATATTTTAACTTCTTATTTTTTTTTAGAATTTCACGTATAGTTTCTGTCATTTCCACTCTCCCCTCTCCTCATTTCAACTCCTCCTTTGTCCTCACTTACCTCTTCTTTGTTCACTATTATTGTTACACACATGTCTGTCTGTCTGTATGTGCACACATATGAATATGTAAATGCCACCCACTGTTTCTGTTTAGTATATTTGTGTAACTCTGACTACTAGGGATTGGGTGGCTGGCCACAGGCTTGTCCCTGGAGAAGACTGGACCTCCCTCCCAGCAGCCATTCATAGCCTGTAGCTCTTTATCTAGGAGTGGAGCCTGTGATGTTTCCCCTGTCCACGTTAGGATGTCAGCTGGTATTGTCATTGTGCAGGTCTTGTTTAGGTAACTATTGTTAACATTTCATGGGTGCATTTCCCTGACATATATGAAAGACACTATCTCATAGCAGACATTCTGGTCCTCTGATACTTAAAATCTTTCCAGCTCCTCTTCACAGTGATGTTCCCTGAACCTTCTGTGTAGGGATTGTGTTGTAGATTTATCAACCGGAGCTGGGCACCCCACGGTCAGTTCTTTGCATTTTGACCAGTTGTGCTTCCTGTAGTGGTCTCCATCTGCTGCAGAAGAAGCTTCTTTGCTGCCAGTGAGAACTATGCTGATCTGTGAGATATGGATAAACATTTAGAATGCCTTTGGGAGTTACTCTAGTTTAGAAAAGTTATTGACCTATATTTGTTTGTTTGGGTTTTTTTTTGTTTTTTTGTTTGTTTTTTTATTATATCTTTATTTATTAAAGATTTCTGTCTCTTCCCCGCCACCGCCTCCCATATCCCTCCCCCTCTCCCAATCAACTCCCCCTCTCTCATCAGCCCAAAGAGCAGACCGGGTTCCCTGCCCTGTGGGGAGTCCATGGACGTCCCCCCTCCTTCCAGGTCTAGTAAGGTGAACATCTAAACAGCCTAGGCTCCCACCAAGCTGAGGACTGCTGAAAAGTCAAGAACAATGGCACTGGGTTTTTGTGGGTTTTTTTGAGGCAAACTCACATTACTTAGCCCTGCCTGGCCTTGAACTCACAGAGATCAGCCTGCTTCTGCCTCCCAGATGTTGAGATTAAAGGCATGTAGCATCATATCTGTCCTTCTGCTTTCTTTTGATTTAATTAGTTTTGATTTGAGACAGGGTTGCTCTGTGTTGCTCTGGCTATCCTGAACTTACTTTGCAGACCAAGTGCTGGGCGGGATTAAAGGCATGCACCACCACCGCCTGGTTTCTAGAGCAAATGCTGACTTGATTGCGTCACTTTGTCAGGCAGAGGAGTCAGTGATATGTAATGACTTCTTTATGTGAAGAAGCACTCTTTCTCCTGTGTGATTTGTATGTGTGCTACTTGGTATGCTGGACAAGCACTCCACCCCTGAGCTGCAGCCACAGCCCTTCTCCCAAGTGACTCATTGGCTGTGCACTTTATACTCTTCTCTTGTTTAAGAGTTGTGTGTGTGTTTTTCTAAGCATCTTCTAAGGCTGTCCAATTTTTATTGAGTTTTCCGGGGAAGTTTTAGCTGAAAAAATAAATTTTAGTTTTTATGTAGAACAGCCTGTCTTTGCCTCTTCCTTTTCTTTTGGCTTAGTGCTGGTGATCACACCCAAGTCCTCGTGCATGCTAGGTAAGCCTCTAGCACAGAGCCGCATCCTGGCTTGTTTATAGTTTTACCTTGTAGAATCATCTATTTGCTATTCGAGGCTTCACATAGGAAAATTTTGTTTTGTAGCTATATCCTACAAGTGACTCTGGGTAATTCTGGTGATTCAGTACATTTAGTTTTGCAGCATATACCCAGAGAACAGTGAGTAAGACCCCAGGAAACCGGAGTTGTAGGCTAAACTCTGACCTTAATAGATTTTCATCACAAACCATAAGCCTCCCTGGACCTCTGTTTTATCAATGAGACAGTGCTTACCAACATTCTCTGATTTTAGCTTTGGGAGGACAATCAGAACTATACTGCGCCCTGCACCGACACCCAACAGTCTACAATATGTTTCCCCTAAGAACTGCTTGCCATCAGTTAGAGCAGAAGTGACTCTAAAGGAAGCTAAATAAGAAGGAGAACCCAAAGAAAAACATATAGGCATCCTCCTGAATATTAACCTTCAGCAGGCGATGAAAGGAGACAGAGACAGAGACCCACATTGGAGCACCGGACTGAAATCTCAAGGTCCAAATCAGGAGCAGAAAGAGAGAGAGCACGAGCAAGGAACTCAGGACCGTGAGGGGTGCACCCACACACTGAGACAATGGGGATGTCCTATCGGGAACTCACCAAGGCCAGCTGGCCTGGGTCTGAAAAAGCCTGGGT